AAAATTTAACATAAAACGGTAGTAGTGCATAACTAAATAAAAATATTATATTAAAACATTTTATTAATGCGACAAATAAGTTAACATGAATATGTAAAAGCACAAAGCGGCAATAAACGACGGTTCGAGCTTCAATAGCATGAGAAATTGAATAATAAAGAAAAAACGAAAATGTTGAAATAAATTGTGAAGTGCGGCAAGCTAGAGCAATATACGAGTGTTAGTTTCTTTCGCGATAAGATCGACGCTTAGCGTATATGAATCCATTATATTTACACTATTATTATTTTGAAAGATTTCGATGAATGACCCCGCGCTTTCCACGTCAAACTTGATCACAATTTACAAGGTATTTACACAAATTCCTTCATCCTGCTTAGCCGTTAAGTGCGCGTGTGACGAGCAATTATATGCTTCTTTTTAACTTTTGAATAACTCGACGCGCAATTACCGCACGGTTCGCTACGTAAAGTCGCAGTCGCGGTGTGGATTGGTTGCGTTATTTAGAGACATTCATCGCTTTCATGCGGCGAATCGCGCTTCTAATCCGCCGGGAGAGTCAAGAATGCGCAGTTGCATTCCGCCGTGCAGTCGATCCGACGTAATCGGCTGGATGACAGCGGCGATAACGTTCAGCGACGATAGCGCGAAGCCATGTAAAACGCGCGTTCACGAACCCAAGCGCGCCATGGAACGAGCAGGAACAAGGGTTCGCGACCGCCTCTCCTCGGTTTCCCGGCGGCGATTAATCTACCGGCGTGTAACGATTCCCTCTTGACAGTTCTCATCGCGGAAAGTAATAGCCGCCGCCAGATGAGGAATTCAATGGAAGGCACAACCTCGCCCGGTCTCGCCACAATACCCACCCACGGTACCCCGTCTCTCTCTTCCTCTCTCGCATCCCGTAAGGCCGACAAATGTTTCCGCTTAGAACCACTGGCGAACCCCATGCGCCATGTGAAAATCGGTGGTGCTACGATGCTACCGGCGAAGAGGAAAAACGGTCGCGAGTACGATGGAGGAAGGGAAGGCAAGGTAGAATGAACGAAAGAACGCGGCGAGAAAGTAAAATGGCTGCCATGCGACGGAATCATTTGTTTTGGGGAGAAGACCTCCGCGAGGTCGGCAAACAAACGACCCCTGCACGCGATAGATCGATCCGCGTAATCGAGGGTGGGATGGATGATGGAGCGGTGTAATACCCGCGGCCTACCTGTCGTTATCGCGACATTTATCTGTGAGCTATTCCGCGCCCGATATTCTATTATATCCCGCGCGAGACCGTAATCCATTATCGACGAGAGTCCGTATCCCGTAGGCATGTGCACGCCACGACCTTCGGTATCTGTCCATTGCGCGTTTATTAATCGCACCGGGCGCGAGCGCCGAGAGATCATTAAAGACTCGACGGTGTGACACCATTAAAGCGCCGGAGTTGTCCGTCGCTGCTGCTGCCGTTGCTGCTTACTGCTGCTGCTGTTGCAGCTCGGCCACTTTCACGATCGCATTTATGCATTATGCATCGTTTCACGGGCCTTGACATCTGGCAATTGCACACGGATTTTTATATAGATCCTATCTCTCTGGCGCTATTCACAACTAATACTAATACAAAATTAATTATATATTGTTAGAAACAATATTGTAAAACGTCATACTTTTGTCTGCGCTGCACTTTCGTCTGAGAACTCTGAGATAAAAATGCAAAAGGTTGCGAGAGATAAATGGAAGAAATTTCAGGTGTCAATTGTCTGTGCAATAATATGCAGATATATAGAACGAAACCATCAGTTGACGGATAATAGCTACCCACAATGTTCCATTTTATCGGTACGATTACTCGTCACGATAATCTGCTATATAACTTGCCATTTCCTATGCTTTTTTATTGTGCCTATTTATAATATTCTTCGAAAATATTTTGACTGGATTATCTTCACACTATTTGACTGGAAAATTTTTGACTGGATTATCTTCGTTCTCTTTTTCTTTTCACTCACGTAGCAGATATTCCAGCAGATATTCTTTCCCAATATTTTTGGGTTAACAGGGACGACATAATAACTAAGCAAATAAAGCATATGGCACCTAACACCAAAAAACCTGTATCTGCACCGTTATTCAGAAAAAAAGTATTACTTGCCGTAAAACCACTATCATATAACTGCAGATACGGCAGTTCTATGATGAGTACACACAAGTATATATCTAAGCAAAAACGCAGTATTTGCTTTTCTTATATTTTACAATATCAATATTGTAATTTTAGTATCACAAAATGCTTAGTTTTACAAAATGATTTCTAGAGGTAATTTACTTCAGAAAAAGTTAAACAATTGATAAAATAGACATAGATTATGACGGCTGCATTAAAGGTGTTTTTCTCAGTTTGAGATTTTTACAGATACTATACTCTTCCTTAGCAATATGAACATCGATAGCAGCCTTTTTTAATAATAAATTTCGAGATGGACAAAAGTAACGAAAGTAACACAGATTCGTGAGCAGTGAATCGTAACTTTTGTGCAACTTTTAAGCAATTTCAAATTTTCAAAATTTTTATTTATATTTAATTTTCATCCATTAAACGCGTCACTTTTTACAGCAATTATATTAGAAAGAAAATGTATACATATAAAAAAAATACTGATTTAAATTGTGGACATCGAACAATATAGCAACATTTCCGGATTAAGTTCTACATCCGCTTTGGTTCAGGATTGCTCGAAATGTCATATCTGATCCTTCGCAGCGTTGCAATTTTCGACACTTCGAATATTGTTGATAAATCTCTACTGAAACGCGACACCGTACTGATGACTCGCGATATAGATCCACCAATATGTAGTTATGACCGTGCAAATAAACTGCACTCTCTAAATATAGAATAAGTGTAACACGTGGGTTAAAAAAAAGCCGCGTGGTTGACACACGTAATAAAATATTTTCTATCACATCCGTGTTTGCAATAGAGGTATGTTAAAGTAGGAAAAATAATATTTTGTCTATTCAGAATATTAATTTACAATAAAAGGTAATAAACCTTTTCGTCAAGCGTGCAAAAATAAAACAAAAAATATATATAACAAAAAATAAAACAAATCTATCGACTATATATAGACACAGGTACGGTATTATCTGTGAACTCAATGAATATTCATGGCAGGTAGAATAGATCATAGCGGAATGTTTTACTGTAACTATCAAAATATTAATTTTTGGGGTACAACACTACCAGGTATAGAAACAACATATGTCGGATGTCACGTAGACGGATGAATGACGGATCGCATCAGGAGAAAAAATAGGAGCGCATCCCATGAACTACCATAGTCGCTGGTATAGGATGGTGTCTTTCGAAAAACTCGAGGTAATCCCGCTCGCTCCGTAATCCGATTTAACCCTGACCAATCGCAGCCGCTGTCGGTTGCCGGTCGTGTAACGGAACGACCGTCGAGGTAACGTAAACGAGAGCAATCGGAAGGAGTCATCCACCACGGTGAAACCACGTTTACTTTTTCATTACTGCGAATCGATCAAAAGATTTAACGGTCGCGCTCGTTGCTTACCCGGAGTGATTATTCGCACGTACAACAGAATCATGAAAATACAGGTTTATATCTGTATAGATTTACAACTAGTAATTTTAACATGAATGAAGTCATTACGTTCAGTTGCGCTTCTAAAATTCAAACTTTTTGCAAAAGAGTTTTCGAGCGAACCTTTAAACTACTTTCGGATGATCTTCTCATTTGTGACAGTTGGATCCTCTTATACACGCGAGTTCGTATATGTAACAAATTATTAGGATTCGTGTATAGGTTGCAAGTTTAAAATGAAATTTGCTGGGCTACATTGAGACGACCAAAGTAGAGTAAAATCAGAATATCTACCGCGAGACTAAAGCTTCTACGGTGGCTGCGCGTTCGATAAAACGGAGACGTCTTCGGCGCCGTCGCGCGCCCTCGATTCTTCAATACGCTAACTTCTGTCGCCGCTCTGTCTGAGGTATGAGAGTTACTCGATTATAAATATATAAGGCTTCTCCATACGGAAGTTGAATGTTATATTTTATAGCAATGACAATCTTGACGCTTTTTAATAGGGTTGAATATTCTCGCTGATCAATACTAGCAAAAACGCTAAACTCTAATTTCTGAAATAATAAAAATATACCTAACAAGTGATTGTTCCTTATAATTGAATTTGTTAGTTTAATGAAATATCCTCCGTGAAATAAATCGTCGTACAAAGAATAACGATATTAGATAAAATATCTGCCAACCGAGTAAGTGTAATAAAGAAGCAAAATCAGCGAACGAAATCAGTGAACGAAACATTGAGAAATTTTCCCGCGACAGAAGAATGAACTAAAAGTAAGTGAAATACGTAAACGTCCTAGCCTGAGAGTGGATGGCTGGCAGCCTATCAATCTTATCCAGCTATCACTCGGGTACCGAGTCCAACGTCGAAAACAGTTCGTCGCAAGATCACAGCAACAGAAGCAACAGCAGCAGTGGCGTCACGGCGGCAGGAACAGCAGCAACTCATGGGATCATGTCGTTCTACCCCTCTACGCGAACAGCTAGCAACCTCTCCGTCCCACATTCTGCAGGATACATCGATCGCTCTCTCTCTCCTCGTCTCGCTTCCTTTCCGCCTGTCAGTGAGGGGAGGCGTGAGAGGTGCCGCGGGCGCCGATGGTGGTGGAAGAACGTTCGCAGTGGGGATCGCATAACCGGCCCGGCTATACGTGGAAGGGATAATTAACCGACACAACTGTAGCTCCCTATGCTGCCTAACGGAAGGACGAAGAAAGGTTACCATGGCTACATGGATAGGATCCGGCCAATCCCGGTGTACCTCGTAGGCGTGGTCTGTGCATTGGACCCCCCGATGCCGTCTATCGCCGTCTCTTTTCCTCGCCCATTCCCCTACACGAAGATTGGACAGTGGTAGAAGTAGCGAGACAGAGAGGTAGAGGTAGGTCTAGAGCGCCAGCGAGACAGCCCGGTTGCAACGGGCGCGTACAAACGTATCATGCTGGGTAGGGCCGGTGCCGAGATGCCGGCTTGTAAACGAAACCAGTTTGCTATCCGATACGATCCAGGCAACAGCGGCCTCGCGTGATATCCCCACGACGTGGAAGAGCGTCAGCGCGCCTGGCCTAGTGGGTGTTACCTGAGCGACCTGGAGAACGGTTGCGCGAACCCACCTGACAGCGATCTTCAATGGGTATCGGAGCTCTTCACAACGCGTTCCTGCTCCAATTCAGACGTTGCCACGTGCCGCCTTTCGGGGATTGTTTCAAAATTAATTAGTGACGTGTCGCGACGCGCGCGAGAGAGAAACAAAAAGGAAGGGAGGGAGAGAATCGCTAATGTAGGCTTTCAGAATTTAGTACCTGCGGAAACAGAGGCGATTTTTTTCGGGCAATTCTCTCATCTCGTAAGAGATTACAACTTGTCGCGTCTCTCTTCAAATGTCATAACACCTGATCCGTTTGTACTTTTGAACTTTAGAATTCTGTGGTGTCAATAGTGAAGTGGATAATCATCCAGTGACCGTCACGTACGTTTGTAATGAGCGAGCGTACCGCGCGTGACTCCAACGAATCATGAGAAGGTCTAAGAGCAAGCATAAATCGGAGCGGCGTGCTTCCTGAACCGCGACAAGACCGGGTGACATCGATACTCCAAGAAGACAGGCAGAGCCAAAATTGGTGTATCGCGAGAGGATCACCGTTTCGGGAAGATGTCCGCCGCTGGGACCACACCGCCAAACGCGAACGGTCCGCTTGTACCTTGTCCGTACCTTGCCCTGCCAACCTTATCTTTCTCCGTCAGTCAGGTGGCAACGGTCTGCGAGACCCTAGAAGAGAGCGGCGACATCGAGAGGCTGGCCAGGTTCCTATGGAGCCTTCCGGTCGCTCATCCCAACATTCAGGAATTGAATCAAAGCGAGGCTGTTCTTAGAGCGCGTGCCATCGTGGCGTTCCACTCGGGACATTATCGGGAGCTCTACGCTATACTGGAGAGGCATAAGTTCACCAAGGACTCTCACGGTAAACTACAGGCGATGTGGCTGGAGGCACATTATCAGGAGGCCGAGAAACTCCGCGGCCGACCGCTGGGTCCGGTGGATAAGTATCGCGTAAGGAAGAAATTTCCATTACCACGGACAATCTGGGATGGCGAGCAGAAGACGCATTGCTTCAAAGAGAGAACGAGATCGCTGCTCCGAGAATGGTACCTCCAGGACCCTTATCCAAATCCAGGAAAGAAGAGAGAGCTGGCCGCAGCGACGGGACTCACGCCGACGCAAGTTGGAAATTGGTTCAAGAATAGAAGGCAAAGGGATCGCGCTGCTGCAGCGAAAAACAGGTGTGTCGTAAATCTAAGCCCATTTTCCCCCGTCCTCTTCCTTAGCCGGAAAGGTCAAACTTCTGAGAAAATTGATAAACGCCCGAACGACAAAAATCACGCTTCCGTTGCAATTCTATCAAGCAACTTGTCAAATTCCGAATGGTTAAACTCGTTCAAATCGCGATATCCTCTTTTCGCGAAAATAAATAGATCGACACATATACACGATTCTAACGAAGTACACTTTATATAAATAGTGGAATGTTATACGTATTTATCCAGTCTTTAATGGGCCAGTAGAATATATTTACTTTTCGAGACAATGAAATATTTCGTATACGCTGCTCAATGTCTGGTATTCGCCCACGTTGAAATCTCCTTCAATGTCGTTAAATATCCACTAAATCAACAAACAGTTCTCGCGAATGGTTGTACATACACGCGTACTCTTACGAGAGCGCCGATTCATTAATAACAGCGTAAATTATTGAGTTCACGATACCGAAAGTGCTAGATAATCATTACGGTGATATATGATAACCATTTAATGTTAAAGATATATGCACGTGTGAATTCTTGAATGATACGAACAAAGACCATCGGTTGCAGTTAATCTTTAAAAAATATGGACTTAAAAATTCTTCTGAAAGAAAAGACATATCCTCCGTTTCATTAACACGTGGCTAAACGATGAATCCATATGGGAGACATGTTTCGAATATAATTTACCGGAAAATCGTTTGTGTACTCTACACCATTCGTTTCGCAACACAATACTTCTAGAATTATGTAATACTAATAATTGATTACGTTAGACTGTAAAAACAATTTGTCGATTATCGTAATTCTTCTTATCGAAGCGATCAGCAATGTTTTGCAAAATGTCACTCGAACAGAATACTAAGATGAACAGAATACCGTAAGATGAAAACGAAGAATTTGATTCACACATAAGAACATCTTGAAGAGCGTCTGCGGTTGGTCACGACATAGAAGGAAAGTTTTGTTCATTAAGTAGCGTTTAATGGAAGTTAATCGCGAAACGATTAGTGGTTTAGGTCCCTTTAGACAGATTGTTGTACTGTGTCCTCGGCAAACGAGCCTTTGTGCCTGCCCCAAGGTCCCCGTTGTGGAGGGTCGCATAATTTCATTTTGACGTCCGACGGAGGGTCGCTGCCGTCGGGCGAACGACGATTTTCGAATTACGTCTTTCAAATTGTGTTTTGACATAGCGCTCTCGCTCTCGCTCTCTCGCTCTCGTTTTCTCTCTTCCCCTCCCCCTCTCTCTTTCTATCTCTCTATACAGTGATATACTCGAAGTCCAGGATAGCTTTAAAATAACATTTGAATCTGTCTCAGATTCTTGCTCTCTCCGTCTTTATGCAGGAAAATGAAGGGGATATCATATGGATATATGTATATATATTTTTGTCTCTTGTTATCGAATACCGTATTCTTTGATTAATTATATTTCTAAAATAAATCTCGAAACAATTTATGTGATCGTTACTAGGCTTATATATTGTGTACGTAGTAATATCTATTCTAATCTAAATACCCGAGTAGAAATAAACCAAAATGTAGCGAGTAACTCTGGCCAACAACTGGTCAGGAATTTGGTTATTGACCTGTTAAAAATCTGGCTATATATTCTGATTTATTTTCTATATTCGGGTATTTTTTCTTCGATTCTGCGATCGATTTCAATTCTATGGTGAAAGATGATGTTTAATGAGGACATTTAACGCCCGACGGATCGTGTTACAAAATGTCGTTAATGTCACAAAATAGAAAAAATGATGCGTTCGAATAATATAAGGGTTATGAAAGGAATGAATTCCTTCACCGTCGAATCACGGCTGAGTCGTTATTAGGGGATCATCGACAAAATGCAGACGGGAAGAAAAACGGAAGTAGAGTTTTCGTTGGGAATTACCACCTGTCATTTCAATTCGATTCGACACGAGCGGCTCCGTCGCGGGCAGGTAACGGTCTGCCGGCCGTATTGTTCGGCTATTTATCGCCCAACGCCGCCATTATTTGCCTATAAAAGGGAAACTCGAGGTGGGTTTTCTATGCCATGAGCTTGCTCCTCTTCCTTCCCTCTCGTTAGGAAACCTCAAGTGGTCTCGACGCGTGAACCGGATGTTACTCCCAATGTGATTTATGAGTTCTGGGTAGACCTACCCGAACATTTTCGCTATTGCTTCCCGGGAATCCCGGGCAACTTTCCACATCTCGAACACGCGACCTTGCATGCGCGACGTTACCGAACGCACATCGCACCTTTGATTCTACCTCGGGAAAAAGGTATTTATCTAATGTACCGCATCTAAATGACGCTGAAAGTTGATTAGATGGCTTTTAGGTCAAAGAAGCAAAACACCTGTGCCTTTCTATATGGAATTAAGAACCGATGTAATATGCAAAAAGCATTTAGATATATGTAACGAACGAAATGATTTAAAAATTCTCGATATATCCATAACTAAAAATAATTAAAGCCGCCACTCTTGATACTTTTTTGTTACACAAGAATCAATTTGTATCCTTCGACTGCTCAGCAGTGAAGAATCGTGTTTGACGCGTTAAGTACGCATCGAGTCCCTCATATCGATAACGGAGCACGGTCCTGCAAGTGACACGCAACATTCTGGCGGATTAAAGTGCTAATTCATTTCGCGCTGGTGCGTTATTTCAATCGTAAATCAGGATGAATGTTTCGCTATACATATATAACCCAAGCATGATAAAACTGCCATTCTCCCGTGGAAAATAGCGTCGACCTAGATCTGTCCCCATGCGTACGGTATATCGTATAATTATTGCGCTCTGAATGAAGTCATTAATAGTCATTATCTACGTCTAACGCTGTAATTGATATATCGTTAACGGTCGACGATGGCTCGACCATACTGCTCTAATTGATCTTGATGAGCTCGCGCAGCGGGTAAGATTATACGTTTGGAGCGTGTATTGTCTCTAAATCGTCGTACAGCGATCACGCGTTCATAAAAAATACAAGAAAAATGTTTATATAACTCTGCCACATAATCGCCGTATACAGCCGCATGTTGCGTCATTGACGGTAAAACAGATCGTGTTCTCGTGTTCGGTTGTTGCTTTGCCGTCGCGAGAAAATATGCGTAACACAAGATTTATTAAGCGGAACATAATATTGCATAATTCTTTCAAATTATGCAACGCGATAAGATCGAATGAAAACTGTGCCAGAATTTCTTTGTGCGTGATGATGAATCGCGTCGCTAGAAATGCTGCTATACGCATATTTCACACATATATACATAGCGTGATCGAAAGGCAACGTTATTTTACGCAAATTTGTGAAATAATTCCCGAGAACATTTACGTGTACATCAAGCGATTACGAAATGTAAACAACAATTTTCTTGAAAACGTCATAGGGATGTTAATTTGATTCGATCAACCAAAGGAACGATGTTCGAATACTCAGAAAATTATTAAGTATCGTTAGAACAACGAAGCAAAAGGCGTTTTGCTCAAGGAAGCTGAACTTTACGTGACGGCAATATTCAGCGTGCTATTCTACCGTCGTTACTTAAACAATACAAAGAGGTTAAAAAAAAAAGAAAAACAGGAAAAAATCGCTTATGTCAGTCTCACGATCTCGCGGCTCTATATTCCACTGAAGCTATCCAACAATGGCTGCGACGTACCTATCGTTACCCGACGTAATGACATTCCGCGTCTGGCCCCGAGCCACATTTTCCTGCACGTAATCCATCGAATCTCGGGACGGAGAGTCCTCGGTTGTGTACATCTAGATAGACATAGGGAGATAGAAAGCCTTTCGAGGGATCCCGCATCTCCTTTCAGAAACATCGACCTGCGTGCGGAATTCGACGCGGAATCCGCCTATATGCGCGGAATATGCCATTGTTTCACAATATTTGAGAAATGGAGATTATCATTGTTATAACACTGGTGTCACTTTGCTCGAAACGTCGCATTATTCTTGGTTCGCATTTATACCATTATTTGTTACTGCAGACAATACCGTATTTACAATTACTAATTACTAACCATATCATGGAGAAATATCGTAAATAGGTAATTACGCAAATATAGCATAATTACTTATTTATAATATTTCTATTATGCAGAATTAATATCGTGTCCGCGCGCAGACGCGCGAAAACCGAACTGTGATAATTTTTATTTTGGATAATTTTTCGACAAATTTATACGCTTTATTCAATTATATCCGGCATTATATGGAGGACTTTTCCCCGTAATTTTTCTCCGCGTCCAATTCATATTTATATCGAAAATGGCTTTTTGCCCTTTTTGTTACGTGCTTCCAATATTTAATAACTCGGTCACCGAGTACAGGTAGCGTTCATTAGCCGCGACGCGGAAAAAAAGCATACCATTAAAAAATTCATAAGAGATATTTTGCATCACTGGATAACGCAGTTTGTTACAATCGTTGTTAGTTCCGAAACGCTGAATAATGTAATCCACAAAAAAATAGTGGCTTTTTTTATCATTTTTCCATCTATCAGCCGTACTTTCCACTCTTTTAGGCAATTCCCTTTTTATTCGCGAATTATGAATTCTGAACAACATCGACGAGAGGAAGGCATCCTGCGCGCATTGTAAAGAGCTTAATTCCCGATTGATAAAATCCGCCAACGATCAGACTGTAAAATCCCAGTAAATAAGTACATTCCATACTAAAAATTTCACGCAATTTCCATGCCGTTTTTATATTTCAATTGGCATATATGGCAAAACAAAAATTGGTATATAAAATATTTCCGATCGTTTCAGCGTTTTACCTTACGTCAATTTACGTCAAAGTAATCGGCAATTTAGACGCGCTTCCGGGATTATTACCATCCAAGTCATTTGTGCCGCGTGTCGGGGCGAGAGAGCGAGATGCAAGGGCGTCCTCAAGATGCGCGTCCCAAATGTTTCATTTTCGTCACGTGTCGGCGCCCGCGAAGAACGTAGCAGCTCCCGTCATAACGAAA